AATGCATCTAACATGAAAAGTGAGAATAAATCTCACCCGTTAGAGATAAGATGTTACCTTAAAAATAGCATAATGTTGCAGTAGAATTTAAGTTTTGTAATTTTGCACTAAAACTATTTCACGTTGCACTAAAATTTGAAATATTGCACCTAAACAATTTCATGTAGCAGTTGACAAATGTAATACAATTTTCTTAGAAGTATTTACAAAATTGCAATTGTGCTAGGCTAAGATTCATTCTCATTTCTCGCCTAAATGTTTCTTCTAGCTAGGGCTGACAATATCACCCGTACCCGCGGATATAAATTGGAGAGTTTCAAGAAGTGACAGTTTACCTGCAAAAATAGTTTTGTGCTGATGCATAAATGTAGAATTTGACAGCTTGAAGAATAAGTTTTATATATGTTTTGTTTGACAATCAGTTTTTTCTTTATCGACGGTGAATTAATGATTGTAATATACTTAATTGCTCAATTTTTTGTTGTTATTATTAAAAAAAAATTTAATTTTTGATTTTTAATTGTCATGATTTCTCTTTATAGTTTATTTATTTATTTTGTCTTACAAGTTAGACCATATATATTCTCACGTTACTCATCTGATCTACCTGATAACCCGTTATTAGAATGAAATTATCAATGAAATCTTTTGCTCAAATAAAATTAACAAAAATTGAAGAAGAATACTTCTAGATAACGGTCCAACTTCTCAAGAGCAAGGTCCAATCGTCAGTAGCTTCTTCAGCAACCTAAGAACCGGTCATACATTGGGAGATGATAATGAAGTTGATTGTTTCGACGTGCATACGTCGGTCTTGTTGTAGCTGGTGTTGCATAGTAGCCGCCATCAGCCTCTCGAGATTTCGCTTAGGATTATGTTCGAGCTGGGATAGTAGTCGCCCACGTAACAAATCATTTTTATGAAATAAAAGAATTGTGGCGGTTAGGTTATAACAGTCGCACGCGTGCATGATTTTTTAAAATTTTTAATAAATATGTGTTGGTTTTTAGACACAATCACCGCTTATACTTTTTTTTTAAAAAAGATTAAACTAATAAAAAGGCGGCGGTTTTTAGTAAACAACCACCGCACATCGATTGAATTAAATTTTTAATAACATAGTGGCGTTTTTTGAAAACCATCATTTATGTTGTGCCGCAGATTGAGATTTTTTCACTAGGCTTAGTACATTCTTGTATAACATAATTTATTGGACGGTGAAAAGTTAGGTAATTTCACATCATCAAATGGATAAATATATAAATAAATGAATGAATGAATGAATGAATGAATGAATGAATGAATAGATAAATAGATAAATAGATAAATAAATAGATAAATAGATAAATAAATAAATAAATAAATAGATAAATAGATAAATAGATAAATAGATAAATAGATAAATAAATAAATAAATAAATAAATAAATAAATAAATAAAATAAATAAATACTAATTGAAGCATACGAAATAGATGAAGAATAAATCGAGATCAACAAGTGCTTGTTGTTTCCTTTAGACAAATTTTCCCATTAGCACTTGTCTTCCAAGGTATAACGATTTTTCATTCCTGAAGTACTCCAACGAACCAAATGATGCACTAACGGATAAGGTTGGGATAAGGAAGAAGTCAAGTATTGTTGGGATTAGAAAATTCTTCTATTTAATATCATGAACAAAATTACAATAGGAAGAGCAAAGCCTCACACTCAACTATTACAAAACACAATTCTCGCTAATACACTCCTTCTAAGTGCATATTACTCTACACACACTTTTCTCTTCATGTCTTTCTTCCAATAGCTTGATTTCCATCTCTTTCTTATTCAACTCCTTGTGGATTTAAGGGAACCCTAGGTTCCGCCTGCTTTCGGATATGAAGTATCATTCGAAGCTTTAGACAAAAGTGCTATTGAGATATTGGGCCCTTATGGTATCTCGTACACATTCCGACGATTGGCCGAGCGAATAAGTCAACTTCAAAGTGGATTTGATGTGCGAAGAATGCGTTATGACTCGTGACCGCCTGCCTGGTTGTGCCCAATTTAGATTCTATATTCTAGGCGTGACGAGGAATCGCCTATCTACTGAAGAACTCAGAGGTTGAATGTGTGAATTCCCTCTCATCTCATCTGTCGATTCAAAAGGAATTGATCGATGGGAACCTATCCAGCCGGCCCCTACTTCTTCAAAGCCTGGTTTGATAGCAAAGAGTCAATCGTCTGCATATCGAGCGTAGCAGATGTTTTTAGCCTAATTGACTGCAAGTTGAATAAGTTATGACCCTCTTTAGATCGTTCTGTAATATTCCAGTGGTTGCCGCAAGGAATGACGTCATAGCTCCTGCAAAAGTAATAAGAAGATGGTGGCTGCTTGAGAAGTTGTTGGGATTGGATGCTATTGAAAAACAAGAGACACCCAATTTATAAATGTATATGGTACACAAAAGGAAGTTGCATCCAAACTTCCATTCCCATGGCTAGAGAGGTTCATAGCTATCTCCAAACAACTTCCATAAGGCTAGTGGAAGTATGTCAATGTTGGATGACAACTTCCTAGAAGTTGTTAGATGTCTTATTGGCTACTACTCACGTGTGCATGAGGATTGCTGCATGAAGACTCCTTTTTGTTGTATATTTGTATTTCTATGTAACATTATTATCTCTTCCTATTTTTACGTAGATGTAGCAGTAGATTAGAATAGGTTGTTGAGATTAATGTATTTAAATAGCATAGCAGCGGGCTGAGAATACCCAGATCATTCACGATCCAATATACACATTCAGTTCACATATTTGCGTCTAGTTTTCTTTATGGTATCAGAGCAGTGACTTAGATCCTGCGATTTATCAAGCAACGATGGCAAACGACTCAAACGGCAACAACAACGACGGCGGACGAAGGAGAATCAATGATATTTCTTCTCCGTATTACCTCTCAAGCGCTGATTTCCCAGGGATGAATATCTGTGGAATGGTGCTGAAGGGCGAATCGAATTACCGCGAGTGGTCTACTGCTATGAAGAACGCTCTGCGGGCAAAACGGAAGGTGGGATTCATTGACGGCAGTATCCCACAGCCGACGACGAACCCCGCGGACTCGGAAGATTGGGTAATTGTGAACGCTATGATCGTTGGCTGGCTCATGACGGCCACTGATCCGGTGCTTAGGTCGAATTTGACCTACATGGATAGTGCCTTGAATTTCTGGGATGATCTGAAAACCCGTTTCTCTGTGGCAGATCCCATGCGAATTTATGAATTGAAGGAGGCAATTCGGCAGTGCAGACAAAAGGGTCAAACTGTTACGGCGTACTTCGGAGAGCTCAAAACACTTTGGGACGATTATGACGGGCTCAGGGCTATACCGCAGTGTAAGTGTACTGGGTGTACCTGCGATCTCAATAAGCAATTCCTCAAGCTTATTGAAATTGAGAAAACCCATGAGTTCCTTCTCGGCCTTGATCATGAAGGTTTCGGTGTTCTACGTTCCAATATCTTAAGCAAGGATGAGCTGCCGCCAATGACCAAGGTTTACCAGGCTGTGACCCAGGAAGAGAGGACACGTAACGTGATTCGAGGAAGAGAAGAACGAACTGAAGTTGTGGCTTTAGCTGCAAGAACGGGAGACGGACGGGATGAGAAGCTTAAGTGCACATACTGCCACAAAGGTGGTCACGACGTGAACAATTGCTTCAAGAAAACTGGCCGCTATCCGGAGTGGTGGTATGACAACCCCGGTCGAGGAAGAGGAAGTGGCCGGGGAAAAGAACGAAGTGGAACTGGCCGCGGACGAGGGAAGGCAGTAGCACACGCCATGATTGGTGAAGCATCAGAAGAAAAACACTGTGAAGGTGCTGCACAGAACAAGGTGCCGGGACTTTCTGATGAACAATGGAAGATTTTGCTCCAACTTGTTGAAAATAGTAAGGCTACATCCTCAGGCGAAAAGTTATCAGGTATACCGAATGAACTTGACTGGCTCTTAGACTCTGGAGCCTCTTATCACATGACGGGTAGAGCCGAGCTATTTTCCAAAATCGATAAGTTGAATCCGATACCGGTTACCATGCCAGATGGCAAAATTACTTATGCCACGAGTATAGGTGAAATAAACATGAGTCCCGAAGTACATTTAAAAAATGTGCTTTTAGTTCCTGGTTTGAATTGCAATTTAATCTCAGTTGCACGTCTGATTGATGACATAGGATGTGAGATTTATTTTGCTAATGATGTTTGTGTAATACAGGGCCTACCTTCGAGGACGCCGATTGGAGTGGCTAAACGGAAAGGAGGAGTTTATTATTTTCACTGTCTGGACAAAATTCGAGCTCATTCAGTCAAGGGTGTTCATTCAGGTGAATTGTGGCATTCAAGATTAGGGCATCCGTCCAAGACAGTTCTGCGTTTAGTTAGTGATTTGAATAATTCGTTGTTTCCAGTTGATTTAAATAATGTTTGTGATGCGTGTTTACGTGGAAAACAAACTCGTGATTCTTTCAATTATAGTTCAGCCAAAGCTATTGACCCATTTGAGTTGATTCACTGTGATATCTGGGGTCCGTATAGAACACCTGCCACGTGTGGTGCACGTTACTTCTTAACAATAGTGGATGATTACTCACGTGCAGTGTGGGTGCATTTGATTTGTGATAAGGGGGAGGTACGACATGTTATGCAATATTTCCTTGCTATGACACGCAGACAGTTTAATAAACAAGTAAAAATTGTTAGAAGTGACAATGGTAAGGAATTTACAAGTTTGAAAGGGTTTTTTTCTGAGCAGGGAATAATACTTCAAACCTCATGTGTTTATACCCCACAACAAAATGGAAGGGTAGAGAGGAAACATAGGCACATTCTTGATATGGCCCGAACTTTGCGTTTTCATGCATATTTGCCGATCACATTTTGGGGGGAATGCGTCCTAACTGCTAGTTATCTCATTAATAGATTACCCTCGCCGATTCTGGATAACAAGAGTCCATATGAAATGCTGTATAATAAACCACCCAATTATGATCGATTACGTGTCTTTGGATGCTTGTGTTATGCACATAACAAGGATCGTAATGGTGACAAATTTGCCCCACGTGGAATTCGATGTGTTTTCTTGGGATATGCTTATAATCAAAAGGGGTGGAAAGTCTTTGATTTGGAAGAACGACGACATTTTGTCTCACGTGATGTACGTTTTGTTGAAACCGATTTTCCATATCAACATAGCATCACGGATGGTGGTGAGATCTTAGAACAACGGCAGATTGACAAGGCAGCCACATGGGTCCGTTTGACCCACTTGGCAGATTCCGAAGATAGCACTGGCACGGGCAGAACTAATAGGGAAGGATGTGGTGATGACTTCCATGCAGACTTACATGTGGCAGACCATCAATCCGGCACTCCACCGAATGATACTTCAGCAACCACGTCCGGACTTCAGCCCAAACGAACGAGGAAGCGCCCTGTTTGGCACAATGATTATGATGTACGACTTAACACAGTGAAAATAAACTCTCCTCCCTACGTTTGTGCTGCTCCAAAGGCCAATTCAGGTAACCCTTATTCACTTTCTCATTATGTAAAATATGCTCATTTTTCTGTCCAGCATCGAGCCTTTCTTGCAGCTCTTTCTGCTCACAAGGAACCTACCTCTTATCATGAGGCTGTCCGTGATTCGCATTGGCGTGAGGCCATGCAACGTGAGATCCAAGCTCTTGAACGCACTGGTACCTGGGAAGTGCAGTCTTTGCCGCCTGGTAAGAAAGCCATTTTTTGTAAATGGGTGTTCAAAATAAAATATAACACTGACGGCAGCATAGCTAGGTACAAGGCACGTTTGGTTGTTTGTGGTAATAGACAGGTACATGGCATTGATTATTCGGAGACTTTTGCTCCGGTGGCGAAAATGGTAACTGTGCGTACCATAATGGCAGTCGCCTCTGTTCGACATTGGGAGATTCATCAGATGGACGTTGACAATGCATTTTTGCATGGCGATTTACGTGAGGAGGTGTATATGCATTTGCCTCCTGGATACACCGCCTCGGGGTCAGGCAAGGTATGCCGTTTATTAAAGTCCTTATACGGTCTTCGCCAGGCGCCAAGGTGCTGGTTCTCGAAGCTCACAGGAATTCTACGTAAATATGGGTTTGTTCAGTCCCATGCGGATTACTCATTATTTACTTTACAGCGTGATTCTCATATTCTTTGTGTGCTGATATATGTTGATGATCTTCTTATTACCGGGAATAGTCACACCATGATTGCTGACTTTAAAGACTTTCTGGCACACTCCTTTCCTGTTAAAGATCTAGGGCGAATGAAATATTTTTTGGGAATTGAGGTGGCTCGAAATTCTTCTGGTATTTTTCTTTCTCAACGAAAGTATGTGCTGGACATTCTCACTGAAACCGGGCTCCTTGGGTCCAAGCCCGTGTCATTTCCTATGATTCAAAATCATGGTCTTCAATCAGATCAAGGACCACTATTTTGTGACCCGGACCGGTATCGTCGCTTAGTTGGTAAACTTATTTATCTTACACTTACTCGACCGGATATTAGTTACTCAGTTCATATATTATCACAATTTATGCAACAACCGAGACAGGCACACTGGGAGGCAGTTGTGCGGGTATTGCGTTATCTCAAAGGCCATCCGGGACAGGGCATTCTACTCCGGTCCGACTCCTCACTCACACTGGCCGGTTTTTGTGATTCTGATTGGGCCAGCTGTCCTATTACACGACGATCTGTAACCGGTTATTTTGTCCAGCTAGGTGGTTCTCCTATATCTTGGCGCACAAAGAAGCAAGTCACGGTATCCCGGTCCTCGGCTGAGGCGGAATACCGGTCTATGGCCACCCTCACGTGTGAATTAATCTGGCTTAAACAATTATTGGGTTCGCTTGCTGTACGGCTTACTTCTCCTATTCCTATTTTCTGTGACAACAATGCCGCCATCCATATTGCATCTAATCCAGTCTTTCATGAGCGAACTAAGCATATAGAGTTGGATTGTCACTTTATTCGTGATCATGTACAAGCCGGTAACATTGTTCCCGTTCATAAATCTACTACGGAACAGCTCGCTGACCTCTTCACTAAAGCTCTGGGCTCACAACAATTCTCTTATTTACTTGGCAAGATGGGCATTTTAGACCCCCATGCTCCATCTTGAGGGGGGGTATTGGCTACTACTCACGTGTGCATGAGGATTGCTGCATGAAGACTCCTTTTTGTTGTATATTTGTATTTCTATGTAACATTATTATCTCTTCCTATTTTTACGTAGATGTAGCAGTAGATTAGAATAGGTTGTTGAGATTAATGTATTTAAATAGCATAGCAGCGGGCTGAGAATACCCAGATCATTCACGATCCAATATACACATTCAGTTCACATATTTGCGTCTAGTTTTCTTTATGTCTCTTAGCAACTTCCAAAAAAGAAGACGGAGAGCTCAAGAGAAGTATCACTTGTTCCTCATCTATGAGATCCTATCTGGTGGTGCTCAATTAATTCACGAGATTCTAGAATTGACACATCTATGATATCCCATCTAGTGATGCTCAATTGGTTCACGAGATTCTGGAATTCACACATCTGTTTTGACAACGATCTTCTGGTAACATTCCTCCCAGGTGCAGCACACGCCTAGTGGCCAATGGTTTAGCAAGTTCCGATATAGTGATCTTCTCAATCAGTTAGTTCATTGCAAGTAAACAATGCAGCATCCACGCTGACATAAACCAAATCAGCCGACAGTGGAACCCATCTAGGAGTTGAGGAGAGGGAATCACACCTTGAGGCCTTTATCGGATTTAAGCAATGATGATGCACTATCATCTCTACATAGGTCTTCACTTTCTAATCCACCCTTTTAGGATGGATATCATCATTGTTATTCCGTGCATCATTTCGAGCTTCCCAAATGTGCCAAAATGTAACAACAATAACTATGGTGTTAAGAGCAGATTCCCTAGCCAAAAAATCGAACAACAATTGTCGAGCATTACTCAAAACTTTCCTGCACAATATATCTGAGGTGATAGAGTTCCTTAACTGGTAATCAAATTGAATTTGCAAAGGGGCACCTTAGAAAGAAATGTTCCACACGTTCAATAGTGTTGCAGAAGATGCAAATATCAACAAGAGCAGGAATATGACACTTCAATAATTGAAAACTTGTGTGTGAGCAATCATTTGCAAACAGTGGCGGAGCCACCTATAGACTTGTGGTGTCAATTGACACCACTGAAATTTTTCTTTTTCATATATGGGTATATATAATTTTTAAAAAATTTAAAATTGACACCATTAAAAAATAACCTACATTATATACAATCCTTCAAAAATTTAAAATAGAAATTGTTCAATATAAGACTAAAACATACACAGAGTTCAAAATAGGACTACATATGTTGATTAAAATTTTCAAAACAGGAATTTTCCCAAAAGAAAAGTTTGGGCGGCACAATTCTTACTCCAACAGTACTGTAACTCTAAATCGCTGCAAGAAGGAACGGCGGAATCACAGAAGAACCTATTGTACAATTAATTGGAAGATGTTTTGGTGAATTTAAAGATATATTTAAAAGTGTTAACAACGAAAAATGCACAACATTTTCAACATATGAAAAAGTGAAAACGCGTTGTGGGTAGTTGTAAATTAGGACTTTAATTTTATAAATGACCATTTTTGCTATTTTGCTTTGCAGAGGTATGAGGAATGATCTTGTCAGTCAAGACTAAAGGGAACTGCCTTCCGGCCAAGCCTGTTTGAGGTACGAGGAATGATCTTGTCAGTCAAGACTAAATGAAGTGTAGAACATCTCCACAAACTGTTATCTAAAACTTCCACTCGTAAGTCAATTAAATAAATTGTTGAAAAACAAGGCGCTTTACATAAAGCACCATATTTTTCAATAATTTATTTGACTAACTTAGAAATTGAAGTTTTTTGATAAAATTTTGTGTTGATGTTCTACACTTCATGAAGAACATGCTCAAAAACTTCCATAAACAAATTAGACCCAGAAGGCCCTAAAACGGGCTTGTCCAGATGACAAATCCCGTTAATCCGGACATTATTATATACTACTGACACCACTAACATTAAATCCTGGCTCCGCCACTGTTTGCAAACCTCCATAAGAGAATCTTCATTTTGTTTAGGGCTTGAATCTCCACAACACAAATATATATCTTTTGAACATATAAATTTTGGATAGCGGATTTTACTCTTCAGGTATGCATTGCGGGTGCGTATGGTGCAATATTACTCAGAGTGTGTAGTTTATAAATTACTGTGTGGGTGGTGCTAGGGACAGTTCTAGAATTTATGGTTAAAGAGCATATTTTTCATTAGTGTAGAACTATGTCTATTTTTTATTTAGAAAAAAACTAATTATCATATACATAACATTTAGAAATACAATACTCTAAAATTACATAATGAGAAAAATAACTCAAATTTTATAGTTGAAGTTCTCTAAAAAAGCTATTGGTAAATTAATGTCCAAATAATACCAAATTATAGATAAAATTATTTAGTTGTTAAAAAATTAGTAAAAATTAACAATTTAATTGAAGATAAAGGGTCTAGAGATGGACTAGAACGAGACTACGTGACCCGGGCTTTACCTAACCGGTCACTGTTAAGGCCCAGTCAGGCCCGGTTTTCCGGGACCGGTACCAGGCCCGGGACCCGGCCCGATGGAAGAAAAAGAGGGGCATCGGGATCAGCTTTCCGTGGACTGGGCCCTTGGTCAATAATTCAAAAAAAAATTGCTTTAAATCATCCAAAAAATATAGGCCCGACCTGGGCCCGGACCGAAGCCCGGCCGGGTAGCCCGGCCCGACCCGGTACCGGTACAAACGCAAGCTAGTATTGGGCCTGAAATCCTTAAGTTCGATCCCGCCTAGTCCTGTCCCAAAGCCTCACCCGATCCCGTCCCAGTCCACCCCTAAAAGGGCCTAAGGATATTTTTAATCCGACCGAAATTTTCTTATTTGATTTGTTCTGAACTAGTCTGATAGATGTCTACTTAGGTGTATTTTACAATAGCCAAAATCTAGTACGGTCTGATCTGTTTAAGTCTGATCTTATATGAATTTTTCTATTCTGGGATGAGATTGGATTAGTCTAAGTATATATAATTGTATAAACATCCTAACAATTGCACATTCACCTATATTTTTTTGAATCGCTTTTACCTCTTGTAACTGCATGACTCTTATTACAATAAAGGAATCAATTTATTGAATTATGATATTTTAATTAACAGGGGTTCTTGGTTAAAAAAAAATTAACATGGGTTCTTGTAATTCACGAGAGAAGTCTTTTTAAATTCTATTATTGATTCTCATAATAATAATATATTGTTAATTCATATTGTTTGAGAATATTATATTGTTTGAATAAGTTAAAATTCATTGCTTATGCAACACAGCAACAGTTCTTTTAGAAAAGTTAGAAACTTAATGAATTGTGTGGTTTTTAATAATGTGAGGATTTATGAATTTATCTATTGAAGTTTCAATGGGGTGTTTGACGGAAAAGAGCACATTTTTTTACATTGTATTTCAAAAAGTGCAATTTTTTTGACGTTTTCTGAGAGAGTGCAAAACGGAGTTGGCAGATCCGAATTCATCTTGTCAGTACAAGAAGCTCGAAAATGGACTCCAAAAAAAATGGTGGGAGGCCATTTTCGGAGTTGGCAAAGCCGAAAGTAGGAGTACTTTTTTTTGTTACGTTTAATATGGTGGGAGGCCTACGAATTGTTTGTTGTGTTTGTTTTTGTGTTTTGAACTTTTTTTTATAATTCTTGTTCAATATAATTTAAGTTCAATTTTTTTATATTTTTTAATATAATTCTTGAACTTTTTTTGTGTTTGTTTTAGTAGTTTTTTATATTTTGTTCAATATAATTAAAAATCATACAATATTTGTATTTTAAGTTGAATTTGCGTCTGATTCCCGATTTAGATAAAAACATGCGTTTTACAAAAATTTGACCCATTAAAATAAATTAGCACACGTTTTACAAAAGTGACTCATTAAATGT